CTTCCACGTATGTCGATGAGGTGCTATAAAGCATTCGTATTGCCATGTGTCAAGGTGTAATTGGAAGGGAAAATCATCTCTCATCAGATTAGTTAAGCAATTGAAGAAAAAAAAGAACATGTACATGAATAAAAAAAGAATATATGAAACCATGTCAACAAACCATGGAGCTGCTTATGCTTGTCTTGGATGGTGTTTATACACTATCAATAAAATAGATTTGGATCTTACCATTTTTTCTTCATTTTTTAAAACTCCATATACTAATTTTTTTAAACACCAAAGTGGAAAATATAAAGGAATGAACTTAAAAATGCTAGGCTTCTTAAATCAACTTGTTTGAATGATGAAATCATTTACTATTTTATTTTATATATATGTTTCAACTATAATATATAATTACAAACTAATTAAATAGTAAAGACCCCAAATCTAACATATTTCACTAACTTTCAAAATCTTCCACAAGTGCTTTGATTGGTGTAATTTTATGGATGCATGGCATGTGCAGCCCATCAAGGCCATTGAGAAAAAACACAATTGATTAAACCCATGACCATAAAACAAAAAGATGAGTTCAATGCTTACTTTTTAAGCTTTTGTAGTATTTTTGTCTTTGTCTCAACTCATATGAATGAAAACCAAAAAACATGAATATTAATGGGTCATCTCAAGTCAAAGTCAATGTAGTGTTTTCTTTCACATAGGAAGATAGAAAATAGAAAATTTATCAAGGATTCAAGCGTACCTTGCTCTTGTAGCTTGATGGGTGTTGACTTGCGATTCAGTTTTTACAATTGGGAGGTAGCAGCAATTCTTTCTCGTGAAGCAATGTCCTTCGACTCTAGGATTACTCCAAGGCCTTTTTTTTTTCTCTTTCAAGGCATTGTTTGATTTTCGTACTTATTCAAATAAGAACTTATTTTAAGTGGTGGAACCACACATTACGTGGAAAATACGCACTTATTTCTATTTGGCAAAAAAGTTAGGAATAAATGCTTATTTCGAAAATAAGTGCTTAAAAAATAAGCAACTCCTAGGCTGCTTTTTTTAAGTGCTTACTCAATAAGTGCTTATTCAAAAAATTTGGGATGAGCCAATCTGCAAAAAATTTCAATATTCCCAAACTACCTCTTCACATAGGTCGAGCTTGTGCAACGTGACAACAATTAGAGGGGAAATCTTCAACTTCTTGGACAGCAAAAAAACCACCAGTGTTGGCTCGTTTTCCATATTCTTTTATTACTATTGCATCTAAACTCTATTTTGTGGTTTTTTTTATCGATTTTAACACAAGATCTTCTTCTCTATGTTTTTTGCTAGATTTGTTTTTTTTTTTTTTCAATGGAAAACCCACCAGAAAATCGCTAGTGACTAGAGGCGCTAGACTTTGGTTGTTTTGTCACTATTTACCATTTTTTGTATATTTTATTGAAAACCTTTTTTCAATTTTTTAATGATGTAAACCAAATGATGATGTGATTTTATGTGTGTTCAGTATATAATGGTCTATATGAACAAATGGATGATTTTTTTGTTGGTTTTTTGTTGAATATTACACCAAAAATATGCAATCACTTAAACTTTGTTATTTTTTGCATTTTTTGAATTTTGCTTTGATTTTTTTTGGATTATTAATGTGAATAGTTGGTGGTATTTTTTTTTTAATTCTTATTGCATAATGCATTGGATGATATACATTAGCCAAATATACTTGTGTTGTTCTTCCATATTTTTTTGGTTCTTACATAATAGATTTTTTATTATTTGCAATAATATGCAATTTCTGATTTTTTATTGCTACTTACTTCATAAATATAATTAATAATGTGTTGGTGTTATTATTATTATTATTATTATTATTGTTGTTGTTGTTGTTGTTGTTGTTGTTATTCTTGTATTAGTGCCACATGTCTGCCTACATGGCACTAGATGTACATTACATGTGGGCATGTGAAATATGGGTTAAAAATGTTTGTTTTGCTAAAATAAGTATTATTGGGGAAGTGGTTTGCCAAACATTCTCACCCGAATAAGTACTTAATTAAAATAAATATAAGTGGTTTGGGAAATGGGCCACCAAACAGTATTAAGTACTTATTCAAATAAGTACTTAACCACTTAATCACCAAATATACCCTAAGCTTGCCAACTTTCGACTCAAATCTAATTACTGAATATCTAATGCAAGTGAGGGTTTTGAGACTAAGAAATATCCAAACCTAATTGATGAAAGAGAGACAGGTGAAACTAGTGAGAGAGAGAAAGGAGACAAAATGACTGTCGAGTATTAGGGTTTATTGGTTTATTTTTTGCAATTTCAATGTTTCATTAAACATCATTAATTAGATTGGAGTTTGATATGACAGTAGGATTAAAATCTTAATCTCTTACAAATCTCTACTAATATATAAAAGTATCAAGGAAAATTATCAAAAACTCACCATAACTTTTCATCATTTCTCTTAAACTCACCATAAGTTTTCAAAACGTCTAGGGAGCCCCCCATATCAATGTTTTTTTTTTTTTTTTCCAATACTCACTTTCTATTATATTACTGTTAGTGATCTTTGATAGAAGTAGTCCACATCAGCATTAACAAAATTTCCATGACCAAACTGCCCTTGAATGGTCAATCAACCTTATTAAATATATTTTTATAACTAAAATGCCCCTGAATGGTCAATCACCTTATCTTGATGGAACAATCCCTTTGCAACTCCTTAAATTGTGTCCATACTCTTTACATCGAGAACAACACCATTTCCTTTGTTTACTGCCATGATTAGCTGTTGATGTACCTTTGTCTATATTGCGACGCCTTCCCACCCTTGGCCTCCCAATTTTCTTTGGGATTCAAGTGCTTGAATTGGAACCCAACTCAAAGTAGGCCAATGTTTTTCCTCTGGGATTGGATGAACAACATACAAATAAGAGGCTCGAATATATGACTCATGATAATAGTCTTCAACATTCTCCCTCTGTTGCTTTATACAAGCAATTGTATGAATATAAGGTAAACCACTTAAATCCCATTGCCAACATGTACATGACCTTTTAACAAGTTTTACCACATTGTTACTAGTATTGTATCACACTTTGTATTCACTTTCATCATAACATAGGATATCTTAAGCCAATGTTGTTAATTAAAACTAGCATAGAAATTAAGGAAATATTAATTTTATATGTGTAGTTGGACTTCTTCCTATTTAACAATTTTTGTGTGTTTCCCATGATAGTTGTATTACTAGTAATAGCTCAGTTACTTCTCTCAATTTTTCCATCCATTGACTTTTAATATTTTCAAGTAATTGGATGATTGGTAAATACGTAGATGACATTATCCATATGTTAAATGATTTCATCAAATTATTTGTAATGTTATCAACCTTTGAATGAATAGGAAATGCATGCATAGACCATAAGTTTGGGTCAATTTCATTGCACCATTGGTAGGCATAAGGGCTTACCTCCTTTATGGATTTTATTGCACTTAAAAAAACAGATCTTGTGTATATTCTAGAAGTTGCATAAAAAAGTTGCTTCAGTGATTCTCCTTTGTATAGCCTTTTGATATATCTATGCCCAACACCGGGTGTGATATGCTTATAAGCATTATCCAATCCCTATTGATGGAATCCATAATAAAAGTAAATAAATAATTGAAAATATTAATAGAAAATACTACTAATGCATTCACAAATAATTTAGATAAATAGGCGTATGAAATAGCATGATGGGACAAATGCCCACATGGCGAATAACCTGACACGGTTTATTAAATAAATGGAAGTCATACCAAATACCCTACATATGTTTCAGGTTGTATGATCGATCAATGAATGCTTTTCAAACCCTTCAAAGAATACAAATATTTAAAAACAAAAGTTCTAAACTAGAATTCAGGTTGTATGATCCATGAATCCTTTTCAAACCATTTAAGGTGAAACCTATTATTGGTTACAGGGCCTATATCCCTTAAACCCAAGCTTTTGCAAAAGGGGGAAAATCACAAAATTAGAGGGCATTGAATATAAAGAACAAAAGGACAATTCTAACATTTGATAGTGCGGGTGAGTCTCATCAATTTGACAAGGGATTCTTTCTTTTCATTTTATTAATTTTTTATAACATGCTGCAAAAAATCTCAAGACAACAAGCTTAAACACATGGAATAGTCAAGCTCCTTAAAAGCTTTCTAAAGAACTTGACCCAATTATTCCATTTAGTGTCATATGCTTTATTAAACTATCAGTCCCTTTCATATATAAATGAAAGAATAAAATATCTTAATAAATAAAAAATGAACAAATAAAGAAACATAAGATGAAGACTACGGAGTGAAACTTTTGAACACTGTTCGAAAAACCTTTAAAGCCTTGCATGGGAAACATCTCTGTTATGTGGTTTATTTCATGGGGAGATATTCCTAATACAAAGCTATAAAGACCATTGGAACGGGTTCTGCACTGACTGGATCCGGGGTATCTGACGAAAGTAACAAGCCTTTTGATTACTTGATTAATAATTATATTGTGATAAATTAATTATTAATTATGTGACTAATTAGATAATAATTATAATTAAATACATTATTCAATTGAATCAAGCTCTTTAATTAAGCATTTTAATTAGGACAAATAATAATTATGAATCTTATATGCACTTGCCTATTTGAATCCGAATTCTATCCATCTTGGCCGAATTCGAAGATCGGGTTATCAACGCGTTGAGTCATGACTCATGACTCATGAATTACAAATTCGTATTCGTTAAGTAATCTCATTCATCACCGGATTGACACCTGTCACACTCAATCCCTCCTTTGTTTTTAGGTTGAGGCAGATCGATCCCTAAATACCCGATTCCATTCGCTTTAATATATGGCAATTCATTTCCAACTTTACCCCTACTTTATTTAATTATACAAGTTTTGATTGAAGTGTGTTTGTAGAACCCAAAATAGTAAATATATCTCGATATATATAATCTCACTCCGTTTAAACAATTGTTTCGACAAACCTAAAACTACTCTTTTTCAAATCTTCGAGGCATGGTCTTTTGTTCTTCACCAACAGCGAGTTCATCGGACGCCGGTGGTGTGTTTCTCCACCAAGGTATCCTGCTTTCTCTCTCTCTCTCTCTCTCTCTCCTATTTGTTTCCTTTTTTAACTTCGTGACGAAGAAAGACCTGCGCATACAAAGTCAAAACCAGAATCTACCCTCTTCCGTTCTCGAATACTGATTTGTGTATGCCATCAGTTCAGACTTCAGACGCTTATTATTTATTTATTCTTTTTGAATCCGTACTTGGTACAATTTCAGCGTCGAAGAACAGTCGAGGAGAGGGGCAATATTTCAGTTCATGATTGGGGTGCTTACTCTTCCATCTTTTGTCGCTTCTGCTTTCGCAGAAAATGGTAAAACTCTCTCTCCTCTCTAGTTTTGGCATTCTAGTGCTCTTTCTTTTCTTCTCTATCTAGTCCCCTGGACATTAGCTTTTTTTTTTTTTTTTACTCAAATCTTATTTATTTGCTTTCTACTTTTTCCTTTTGGGAGTGGCTTATTTGTTCATTCTTTCTATTGAATAAGGAAAATTATTATTAGGGTTTTGAAGGATTGATTGCTTGTTTGTAACAGCCAATGTTCAGAGGGACGATGTTGAACTTGTTGCTGTCGATGGCCATTTTCTTTGGTCAGATACTTGTAACCATTTCAGTATCAGGTTTGGCCTCCATCGAATATATTTTGAAAGAGAGATTTTTTTTTTTTCCGAATCTCAAATTAATGAAAGAATCTGATATTGAATTGCATTGCATTGGATTTATTTTGTAAAATCTAATTCGGGCATAAAAAGGAAAAGAAAAGATTTCTTCTGAGTTAATTGGTGCTTTGTATCCTATTATGCTGTATAAAATATGAGAGGATTGTTCCTTAGAGTTCCTTCACTATTGGGTATGGGTATTCTTTTCTTATTATTAGCATCCAGTGCTATGATAATAAGATCATAAATAATATGGTTTAACCACATTGGTTTGCATGTAACCCATGTCCTAATAAATTTGGTGTTTGTAGAAAGGTGATTGTGTTTTCTTTCATTTCTGGTAGGCAAAGTTGGCATCTAGAGGCATTTCTTGTTATGATTATGATGAATCAGTTAGCTGAGTCATCAATTGAAGGGCTGAGTTAGCTAGTCAATCTATGGTTGTTTTTGCATCCTATATTAACAAATGTGCTGCTGCACTTGTCTTTCTTTACTTGGAAGGTTTAACACTTTGTAAAGTTTGGTTCATAAAATTGATATTTGGCTCTTGTTTGTTTGCTGGTAAGTTTGTGGGGTGAGTTGGTCGATGGGAAAGTTGACCGACTTTCCTCATTGTTTGGAAAATCATGTGGGACCCACAATAAGTAAGCTTTACCTTGGGTAAGTTTTTTGGTCACTTACCCGGGAAAGACTTACCCTTCTCCCAAGTGGGTACATTACTCTTCCACAGGGGAGGGAAAATGGCCAAAATTAATTGGATTAAAATGCTCCTGTGAAAAGAATATGGATAAGTGGTTGAGGCAAGGTAAAAATGGTAATGGAGGAAAATCTTACCTGTGTAATTTCATGACAAAAGAACATGGGTAATTGCATTTACCTGGGTGGCTACACTTCCCCGGGTAAGTAACTTACCTGCAACTGAATGAGGCCTTGGGCTGTTCACAAGATGGTAAAAATCGACCAAACCAGCCAAACCGGCCCGACTCGATCCAATGGTGGTTGGTTTCAGTTTATTATATATATATATCCGATTGATAGGTTCGGGTTTCAGTTCATGAACTTGTAAACAGAGTAAAATTGACCTGAACTGAGGATATATCAGTGGAAAACATTATGCAGCCTAGCCTGTTATATGGAAAGTGATCTCTCTTTCTCATCTAGTCATGTCCCACTTCCCAATGCCCAATCAAAATTCAAAAATACAAAAATCCTTTTAACCTAACACAAGAAAGTGAACYGTGCAACACTGCAAGTCTATCTATACTCCTGGCACCTACCCTTATGCATAGCCCTTACTCCAAGGCACAGTACAAATGTGAAGTAGTATCTATATTCTAATATCCATTATTCTATTTTTTATTGCTTTATGTTTTGATTTTTGAATAAAATGTTCAGACAATCAAATAAAGGTTTTTTATTACTTATAAAAGTGATTCTCCTACAGATTTTAATTGTATGATCAGAAAATGGCAATCTGTCATTGGTCATTTTCATATGGAGCCCCAAGAAGACTGAAAAAATAAAGAATGAATCAAGGAATCAATCAAAACAAAAACGAAGAGATCTCAGTTCAGTTTAAACTGACCAAACTGAGCATCCAATAGCTACTATCAAAGGTCAGTTTTTGCTACTTTTCGGTTGGTTTCAGTTGGCATAATGGTCAAACCGAGATATTTGGTTCAGTTGACAAAATTCTGTGCAACTGAACTGAACCAAACTGACGTGTGTACAACTCTAACAAGGCCTAGATGTTATCTGTCAAAAAATATTGATATTAGATGCTCTATGTCAGAATCTTCTTTTACTAATGCATGCACCACAGTCAATTTTAAGATATTTTCCAGGGTACAGAAACACATTTTGAGAATTGTATGGGACCTAATACCTATGGCCTTGTTCAGGTTTGTCCGCCGGGGGGGGATGCTCATTTTGAGAATTCAATTGCATCAGATAAAGTTCTGTTATAGAAAATTAAAGGAAAACTATATTCCTGGCTGTCAGTGCAAAAAAAAATGCAGGCTGGGATTGGCAATTGTGAGGGTTCAGGTTCAAATTTAAGAGTGGTCACATTGTGCAAAAAATGGAAAAAGTAAAAATAAAAAGGTATATGGTGTACTACGCTGTAACATCATTGTTTGTTAGCAATGGTGCAACATTTACAGTCTACAATTCTTTTTTTGGTACTTTCTTTGAAAAGCATGTTTATTAAAACATAGAAAGTAAATAAGGATCTTTTTTGGTCATTTACATTCATGTTCCTACGGCCTTGCTGTTTTTGAAAACTCTGATAATGTTAACATTTCTATGTCACAGATATTCACTTGGGGAATCCCACTTTGCAATTGACACCATTGCTCCTTCCTGGGTATTCATCTAGTCATGGTTCTAAAGACGTGGTATCATGTGGGCGTGTTCATGTTACTGGGCTTTCAAGGTTGAAAATCAAAAGTTATGCTAATGCATTTCGCGTTACTTTGACACCATCAATTGTAATCCCTGACAAGTTCCATGGCAAAATTGGGGTTTGTTTCCACCAGTAAGTGACATCTTTTTTGATGGGTAGTAAGTGAAATTATCTTTTATCTTATTTTGGGGTTTGATGTTCCTCCTTTATGAGTATTWTGTGCTGACAGATTGGCCAACACTTTTATTGGGCCCTTTTCTTTTTTCTTTTTGATCAATGATTGCCAAATGTTATTAATAAAGAAACACTAAGGTGTCAAATATACAATCATTTAAGTGGAGATAAAAGTTCTATCTCCTCAATTATATTCTTACAAATTTGCCCAAAACATTTGATCCCTTCTCACCCCTTGCTTTGCTAGGTTATCTGCAAAACTGCTTGTTTCCCTTTGTACCCATTGAAACTCTTTTTTTTTTTCTTGTTTTTGCAGCCAACCTATTGCCAATTTGGAATCCGCTTTAATAATCAACCTATTGATGTTCGGACTCCTTGCCCTTTGCACACATTCTAGTATTGCCATTATCTCAGCCCTTAGGGAAACTCCATTGAGCTTTATAAAGCCTATTGCAGGTGGTATCCACAGTCACACTGAACTAGGCAGATCCTTCTTTGAAGAAGTCCTTGCTGTTTCCCTCCACTTTCTTGTGATGTCATCAAATGTAAAGGAGGAAAAACCCTTCAATGATTTGATCATTTCTTTTTTGAAAAGTCTCCAATGATTTGATCATTGTGCCACCTTTATGGTTATGCTTCCTTTAATTGCCTCCATGCTTCTCTCTTTATCCTATAAATTCTTGCACTTCTCTCTTTCCAAGCAGTCCACATCTCCACATGACTTTTCACCTTTTCTTAGGCCATACAAGCATTGAGGGAAACTTCTTGTATTTTCTTATTTTAAGTTGTTCTTGTTGGGTTTTAATTAAATTATTAACTTAGTGTATTATGGGCCTTATTTTTTCTTTTTATTTTATTGCCACTTGAATAGGGGCAGATTTGTAATTGTATTTCTCATTAGTTGGCGATTTATACAAAGGAAGTAGGGGGTTGCCGGTTGCCCTAGTCTCCTATCATCATCATCATCTATGCCTCTTCCCAACTCCTCACAGAAAAGAATGATATCACCTGCAAATTGCAGCGTGTGACTACCACCTCAAGCCTTCCTATCCTCCACCCTACAGACAAATTCATCTGATCGGCCTTAATAATCATTCTACTCATCACCTCTGCAATTAAGGTGAAAAGGAAGGGAGATAAGGGGTCTCCTTGTCTCAGGTCTCTTGAAAGAAATCTGTAGCGACACCATTTATCAATATTGAGTAGTGCATTGAACTCAAGCAACCCTTAATCTATATGCTTAGTTTGAGGGGGAGTGTTGMGTCTGTTGACAGATTGGCCGGCCTCTTATTAGATCATTCTTTTCTTTTTCTTTTTCTTTTACTGCCACTCGAACAGGGGCAGATTTGTAATTGTAATTCTCATTAGTTGGCTGACTTATACAAAAGAATTGGGGGGTCATCCTAGTCTCCAATGATTTGACAGTTTCTTCCAATTCTCCCTTCTTCTTTCTTCTCCTACTCCTTCTGATTTCCACTACTTTTCGTCACTTTATTTTTCTGATAATTAAATATTCTTGGCTGAAATCACAAGTTTTTAAGACATTTTGGGTGTTTTTAGTGGGTGCCAAATGGGTGGGTTGGGTTGGGTGTGGGTTGAGTACCAACCCACCCATATTGACCCATTGACCCATTGCCACCCATCACAATCCACCTTGACCCTGACCTACCCTGAGCCATCCATATGACCCATTAACCTAATGCAAATATTAAGAAAATATAAATATTATACCAAATAAAACTATAAATATTAAAAAATTTGCAAAAAACAAAAAAAATCACAGAAAAAACAATAAAAATTGCAGAAAACAAGGAAAATTTAAAATATATATTTAAAAAATGTAGAAAATGCAAGAAATACATAAATTGATAAAAATTCAAAATAAATATATATATTTCAATTGAAAAGTTATAAAAAAACAAAAAAAAAGATAAAAACAAGAATTGTGTAAAATACCTAAAATCATAAAATTTTCAAAATTCATATATTTAGACAAAAGATAATAAATTACAGAAAAATAATTAAAATATAAAAAATCAAAATGATCATATACTTCAGCTAATACMAAAAAATATAAAAAATGATGCAATATGTACAAATTGCAAAAAAACATCGCCTCTTCTCTGGTTCCTGTAACTGGTGGCCATGCCATCCTAGATCTGGCCCAATGCCAGAATAAGAATAGGGGAGAAGGAAGAGTYAGAAGACCTAATTGGTGGGGTGGTACCAGCGGCAGCAATAAAAAGAGTAAGAAGAAGAGGGGTGGAGGAAGTAGATCTGAAATTTAGATTGGTTGTATTGGCCGGTGGTGGCGATAAGAATAATAAGAAGAAGAGGGGAAGAGGAGGAAGTAGATCTGAAATCTAGATCGAAGACGAGGGGAGGAGGAAGGGTAGATTAATAGATTTGAAACTGATATCTGATACCGGCGGCGGCGATGAGAAGAGGAAGAAGAGCGAAATCGGGATGGACATACCGGTGATGGCAAGATTAGTGATTTCGACGGCAGCAAGATTGGTGGTATCGGTCGCTGCAGCCATCGAAAGTTCCTCAAATTTTTCCAACTTCTTTTTTTAATACTTGCATCAAACCCTAAAAGCTAATTAGGTAGATGACTAGTGTTAACTTTGACTCATGGGTACCCTCAACCCAACCCCACCCTGACCCTTTTTCCTTGATCCAAATGGGTCACTCAACCCATAATGACTCTTTACTAAAGTAGGTGGGTTGCCACCCCTAGGTGTTTTTTATGGTTGAATTTATTATTCTGGTGGATATTCATGTCCCATTCTTGTGTTGTTTGCAGGAATGCTTCACTTGGGTTATGCCAATGCACAAAGGATGAATGGAAAGCTATCCAAAAGGGATCATGTAGCACTGTCATGTCACCATATGGGAATAGATATGTTGATGTGAGATTTAATGATGGAATATCTGGGTCTGTCACAGTTTCTGTTGAGGAAGGTTAAGCTCATTTATTTGAAAGTTTTTTGCTTTTTATTTATTCTTTTTTATGTTTTCTGCATTGGTTAGTTTGGTTTAAGGTATGACTCTAATGCTCACTTGTCCTGCAGAGTTTCAGAAATGGCGTCTCTTTTGCCTTGCTCTTGGATTTATTTTACTGCTTTTGGCACCAATTGTCAGTAATTGGGTGCCATTTTATTATAGCAGTTCAATGGCTATTGGAATCTTCCTTGTCATTTTGATTATTCTATTTCAGGTATTTTGGTGATGATAGGTTTAAGTTTATGTTAACAAGCTACTTGATGTCTTTATGAAAACTGTTTCACTCTTTATTTGGTGTCTTTTTATTATGCATTATGCTGGTATTATGTTTCCAGTGATAATTCCCCCTCAAAGGGGTCTGAAACTTATATTTCTTTTCCTTTTTTATGGCTAATATCATGAGATCAGTCTAATGTTGGTTTGGGAAATCTTCATGTTGTTTTTCATTTCTGCAAATATTTTTCCTGTAATTTTGAGCTATTATTGGAGCTCCCACATTCGCAAATGTTAGGTTAATTTGAAGTCAGTACTCTGTTGAGTGTTTTCTTAGTCATTATACTTGTTGAGTTTCTTATTTAGGTGTTGGGTTACTTGTATGTATGAAATCATCTCTTCCCCCCATCCTTTTTATCTTATTGTTTATCTCAATGTCATGTTTTTGGTAATACATTTCCTGCTAGGTACGCATTTCAAATTTGATACTGGATGCAGCATCTAATCAGTTAACTGCTTTTTCATGTTGACATAGGGTATGAAGTTATTACCAACTGGCAGGAAAAATTTCTTCTACCTCACTCTATATGGTTCAGTGGTAAGTTTTTTGTTTGTTTGATGACTTTACGTTGTTATATTTTTATTGGTAATTTATGATGCTAAATGTTTAACTAGAGTACTGTTCTCTCATGTCTTATTTTCTGAGACCTTACATGCCTTTGGTATTTTCAGGTTGGGGCTGGATCTTATATTGTACACTACTTATCAATGCTGGTCAACTCTGTTCTTGTAAATTTTGGGCTCAGTGAAGAGATGTACAACCCTGTAAGTCTTTTTCTTCATGTCTGCCCTTCATACAACTACATACATAATTAGCCCTTTTAGCTAGTTTGGATTGTTTATCCTTATTTCCAATGTCTCTTGCTGTGCTTGGATTTGTTTTAGTTAAAAACCATATTTTTGTTGGCTACTTAATGAGGAATATTCTAATCAATATTGTAAGAACTAGGTGGCTAACCAGACCAGTTCTTTTGGCATATAGGTGAACCTTTTTTGGACCAAGGTTGAATTGGTTGGACTTATTTTATTTATTAGGGGTTTTTATAGTTCCGTCCACCCCTAGGGTGGAGCTAAGATTTCTAGGGGTGGACTGAATCTTGCCTGTGGATTGATGCCAAATTCACGGGCAGGATGCGGTTTATGGGGGGGGGCTACTAGTAGACTAGGAGGGGGCTGCAATTTCAGATTTCTGAGGTGGATTGCAGTCTACTTAACCCTATTTATTAAATATTTTATGTGTTTATGCTTGTGAAGATATATCTTAATGTACATTATTAGTATAGACCTTGGTGTACAGTATAGTATTTGTTGGTTCGAGTGGTTAAGTGTTGGTGGGCTTAGTTTAACTTTTATGTTTAAGTTCCTTAGTCTATTATGGGCCTTTAGTTATTGGGCCTAAACATGTTTTATTTTTGTTTATTATGTCTAGGTGTCCCATCACTAATCAGGGGCATTCTAGTCCTTTTGTGTAGTCTCTTATTGTAAAAATATATGTCAGATTCTAGGGCCGGCTGAGACACTATTGCCGCCCCATTCTCAAACCTCTTCTCTTCTTCCTCTTCTGCTGTTCTCCAGCAAACATGGTATCAGAGCACCATTCAGCCTGACTAGTTACAACTAGCTTCCTTCTTCTTTTTCCTCTTCTTTATTCTTTTTTTTCCTTCTCTCTTATTTCTGCTACTGTGAAGAAACCCTAGGACTGACCGTAGACAACAGCAAGGTCTGTATCTAGGGTTTCTCTTGGCTGTAGGGCCCAAGGGGAGTTTTTCTCAGAAGCTTATGCCCTACTAGTGGTTCCGCAGCAGTTAGTAGCCATTCGGCTGCTAGAGAGATCTGTGTAGAACAGATCTAGGTTGAAGGATTGAGTAGACAGTCCTGGTTGGTGTTTGGGAGATTGAACAGACCGTAGGGGTGGTCACAGTCCAGGTTCGACCTCCAGAAGTGGTGCTGTTTTTCAGTCCAGAATYTGCTCTCAGCCATAAGTGRTGTTGTTTTCAGCCCTGAAGTGCTTCAGTACAATTACAGAGGTGGTTTTGTTCTCAGTCTAGAATTTGCTCAGCCACAAGTGGTGTTGTTTTCAGCCCATAAGTGCTTCAATACAGTAAAAAAGGGTGTTTTCAGCCTTGTAACAGCTCCGGTAAGTCTGAAATCTATTTCTTTGTGTTGAGATTTCAGTTGTGGTTACTGTAAGAGGAGTATGTCTTCAATATCAGGTGAAGTATCCTATAAGGACAATATGATTGGTGGGAGGTCTTCAAACCTGGAAAACCCAAATCTTCAAAGCTTGCAGATCACCTGTGTGTTAGATGAATTCAACTCCAGAGAATGGTCTGTTTCAGCCAAGCTTTTCATTATTTCTCGGGAACTTATGGGTTATTTAGATGGACAGAAGAAGGAACCTAARGAGGATGATGCTGATTACTCAATCTGGCGTAAGGAAAATGCTACTGTTATGTCCTGGCTGCTTGCCTCAACGATTCCAAGAGTGGCTAGGACTGTTCAACACTTCCCTACTGCCTCTAAGATTTGGGAGAAGGTGTCTAAAACCTATGGACAAAGAAAGAACAATGCAAGAATTTATAGGCTAACCCAAGATATTGTCGCATTGAGACAAGGAGATATGTCTGTTGCAACTTACTTTGCAACTCTAGAGGGACAATGGGAAGAACTTGACCATCATCTTGTACTTGATTGGGAAAATACAAGAGATAAGGAGATGCATGATAAACAAGTTGAAGAAGGTAGAGTTTTTAAGTTCTTGGCTGGCCTTGATCCGATGTATGAGAGCTTAAGATCCCAAATTTTGGGAAGGGATGAAATTCCAGATTTACATCATGTTTACTATCTTGTAAGGAATGAAGAGGTTAGAAGGAAATAGATGCAAGTTGACACCCAAGTACACAGCCTATTGAGCATTCAACCTTGATTTCTTCAACCCAAAAAGGGGGCAAACATTTAGACAAGAGGCATCTTAAGTGTTCTTATTGTGGAGGTGACAAACATTTGAAAGAGACTTATTGGATTCTTTATCCTCATCTGAAACCAATTGCATTAAGGAAAGACAAGAAGCCTTAGAGGAGTCAAACAACAAGTGGGAATGTAGTCATAAGGAACAGTGGTGAGACCCCAAAGAACACATTACAGTTGCACCTCCTCCTATAGGACAGGCAACTAATTCCCACACATCCGGGTCCTTTGATTTCACAACTGATGAGGTAGAAGTCGTTAGCCGGGCCATGGCTCGTCTAAGGAACAATTCCCTTGCTTCCACCTCTCTTGCCAGATCAGGTATTGTTTCTGCTTACAGTGTAACTAGTCCTATAGAGTCTAATTCTTGGATTTTTTATTCCGGTGCTACTGACCACATGACACACGTCTTCTTTATTTTCTTCTCATCACTTGATGTTTGGCCAAGATAAGATGAGAGTTGTTGATGGTTCCCTCTCTACCATCTTTGGGAATGGGTAGGTTGACCTAAGCAAGGATCTCTCTCTTAAATCTGTTCTACATGTTCCTAGTCTTGCTTCCAACCTCTTATCTATTTCTAAGCTTACCAAGAATTTAAACTGTAGCATAACATTCTTTCTTACTCATTGTGGCCTTCAGGACAGATTGACGAAGAGAATGATTGGGAGCGGTCATGAGTCTGGAGGTCTCTTACATTTGTGGCATGCTAGACTAGGTCATTTACCTTTTTTGTCAATGCAAGGATTGTTTCCTGAGTTGTTCAAGTGTGTTTCAAGTCAAAGTTTAGTTTGCGAAGTGTGTCAGTTGTCAAAACAATGTAAAACTCTTTATCCAATTTCTAGTAATGAATTTCAAGCTCCTTTTGATTTGGTTCATTCTGATGTTTGGGGCCCTTCACCTTTTATTTCTATAGATGGCTTTCGTTACTTTATCAGTTTTATTGATCATTGTTCACGATGCGCATGGATCTACTTGTTAAAAGGACGTGATGAAGTGCCACGAATAACCATKGCATTTTGTAAAATGATTGAAACTCGGTTTGGCAAGAAAATTAAGCAATTCTGTTTAGATAATGTTGCTGAATATTTTGAAAACTCCTTGAATCTGTTCATGGAGGATGCAAGCATGTTACATCAGTCATCTTGTGCTAGTACCCCTCAACAGAATGTGGTTGTTGAGCGCAAAAACAGACATTTATTGGAGACAGCTTGAGCCTTACTATTTCAACACAAGGTTCCCAAGCACTATTGGTCTCAAGTAGTCCTTACAACATTGTATCTAATAAATTGGATGCCATCTAGGGTGTTGGGTATGAGAACTCCTTTCTTTGTCCTTTGTCCTAACCTTCTAGATTTTCCTCTTCCTCCTAGGGTATTTGGCCGTGTGTGTTTCATTCATGTCAAGGATCCTAAGAAGACTAAGTTGGATCCTAGGGCTACTAAAGGGGTCTTTCTTGGGTACTCTCCCACACAAAAATGTTATAATTGTTATGATCCAATTACCAAGAAAAAATATGTCACCAAGGATGTGATGTTTTTTGAGTCTCATTCCTATTTTCAGTCTTCCAGGAATCCTCTTCAAGGGGAGACTAGTGGGATAAAAGAGGATTCTTCTTCTCCCTCTTTTTTGCACCTCGTTTAGCCTCGGATCTTCCATATTCTTCTCTTGATCCTCCTGTTTTTAGCAGCCTAGGTAAATCTAGTGAGACTCCAATTGAACCTGTGACCGCTCCTGATGTTGAGGATGTGACTACTAGCACTATACTCTGGCCCCATTGGTGTGGGAGACTCTCTGAGAGCAAAAGTTATGACCTTGCTACCAATGTTTTAAAAGCGCAAGGCGCAAAAAAGGTGCAGGGGCCAATTTGCGCCCAAGGCGCTCGCCTTTTTGAAGCAAGGCGCAAAAATACAAAAAATGCTAAAAAAATAAAAGTCAGAAAATTCAAAAAATAAAAAAATAAATATAATATTAATAAAAATATAAACTTAAATTTTAATATAAATGTTCTAAAAACCTATTCTCTATAATTAAAATACATAAACATAACATGTAAAGCATATTCAAATGAGAATTTAAAAATAAAACCAAACTTATAAAACATTTTCAATCATGTAAAACCCACAATCTCTTTTTTTCCTCAATTGCATTACTTCAAGTGGCTAATGTGATGTAAAACATATTATATTCCTGATTCTATGAGCCACCTTTTTGCCATTTCTAGGGGTAAAATAGTAAAGTTCATAGTTTCAGATGGTAGAGAATTGCTCTGTCTCAAATGATCTAATCTTTTCAAAGTCTCTATAAAGTGGAAAATCCGTTCTACTTCTTTTCAGATTTTAGACCTGAATAATAGCTCTTTGACTTTTCAGACATCAGACTTCATATGTGTGTCTGACATGGACACTTCATTCATTTGGATATTCCATGCAACACTGATAGAAGATATCAAGACAGTGAAAAAGAGAATTTTTAGTATACCTTGCGGGTACACACAATTAGGGATATGGGGTAGGCTGGCACCTTCCAACTCATATTAACTAGGATTAACATACAATATCGTTTCTTCGAAAAATGGAGGCACATCAGCACCACAATGTTTTTTTTTTGAAAAATGTTTTCTCAGACCGTGCCTTGGAAGTCGGAAAGGTGTGGTCTGAGAAAACGCCCTTTTTAGTGTTTTCTTGTTTTTACTGTTGCTAGCAACAGTATGCTTACCTGGCATATCTATGTGGCAGCAACAGCAATGGCTAAGGTAGAATTAAAAAACGACATTGGTTCCRAAAAAACACCTCTTAGAAAATGACAATGGTTCCAAGGGTTTCCATTAGGGTTAAGTCAACCAGATGAAAATATAATCCAGATATTACAAATTTACCCTCATCAGGAGGAGAAATTGAGTTTCTTCTAACTAAATCTTCTCAAGTCTATTCTGGATGCATCATCTATTAGGGCCTCCATTAGGGGACAACTGCTTTTTCTGGTTTTATGGATTCCTGAATGGTTGAGCCAATGTTTTAAAATGTGGGAGGCATATTCCTGGAGGTGCACCTCTACTTGAGGCACCCCCAAATTGGCCTGAGGCACATGCCAGAGGCTCTGATGCTTCTGAGGCATGCTACCTCATGCATGCTTCATGAAGAAAAGAAAAGAGAAGGGAAAGAAAGTTTCAGCTGAGGGCTCTGCCCCCAGATTCCCTTGGCTAGGGGGCCTAGACCCCCCAACACCTTTCTGATACATACCAATTTGATTTTTTTTTCTTTTTTGTGCTAGGGGTCTTCATTCTTGTTAATATAAAACATTTTTCGTAAAAGTGAAACAAGAGAAACAAAATGAGATCCACCTTCCTCTTCTTCTTCGTCCTTTTTAGGAAGTTTACGCCTCTTACATTCTGAACTATATGCCTCGTGCCTCCAAGTTGTGGAATGCCTTTCATCACACCTCCATGTTTTAAAAACTGGATCTTCATTTCTTGTATCTGCATCACACTAGATAATTATTGATGCTTGAATATCGTTAAATATTTAAAACTACTTGCCACATCCCTTTTATATATTTTAGTAAGTTCCAGTAAGTTTTTTCCTATATTTCTTCCTTTCTGATTAAAGGGGATTCTAATTGCTTTATCTTTTTTAACATGATTTTGTGACAGGTTTATGTATTTGCGTTGGTAGGAATTATCCTTGCGGGAGCAGGACTAGGTTACTGGATTGTGCGAAAATTTGTTATTTCAGAAGATGGAGGTGTGGATGCAGCTATAGCTCAATTTGTGAAGTGGGCAATGCGCATCATGGCAATGACCTTAATATTTCAGGTAGACTTATCTTTACATCTTCTTACTGAAAAAAGAAAGAAAACCCTTCCAAGTTCATGCTTGTTTAAAATTATTATTGATATTGAAAGCGTAAAAGTCAGACTTTTATCACTATGTTTAATTGTTAAATGCTTGGATAACGAGATATTTATGTATGGTAAAGTATTTTAATTTATTAATATTTCCAAGGCTAATGGATTGAACTGGCTTAAGGGCCAGCCCATCAGAAACTAGGGCTTACCTTGGGCTAAAATGTACCCTTGAAGTTGTGTTTGGGCTGAGCTTGGATAACCTTGGCCCAACTAGGCTTGGCCTATTTATATACTCATATTTACTAGTAATTAAGCACATGCATTGCACTTCAGAAAATTTTTTCATATTAATTACTTAAATTTTAGATATATCATAATTAAGATAAAAATGAAAACTAACAAAAGTAAGAATATGATTAAAAATAAACTTAAATGCTTGTAGTAAATGTGCACGTGCATTGCATGTGGACATTTTAAATTACAATAACAATTATTATTACTATCATTATTATTATTTATTTTTATTCCATTTTTCCATAAATAAAAATAAAATTTATTTTAACAAATATTTTTATTTATTATGATGAATATATACCATTATAAATGTTCTCAAATGCGACAGAATTTTGTATGTTTTCATTGTTTGTGTTGTATCTTTTTTAAATATTTATTATTCAATTATGACATCATGAGTTTCTTTGAAAAGTTGGATCATTGATGCTAACTAAGAAAATGGGAAAGGAGAGGAAGTACGGGCTGGCGGGGAAATGGAGACTGGAGTTGATCATTGAAGCCAAATCTTTCTTGTTCGAGCAGGGAAGGACAAAGGGGAAGGCTCACTTGAAAATTAGAGAAGGGAGCAGGGCGACAATTCTCCTACCAGAGGAGGCCTGTGTGTGGTTGAAAGGTTTTGTAGATGGAACTGTTAATTCCTTACGGGAAGAAGGTTGGAGAAATTCGTTGACCTATGAGAGTAAGAGGTTCGAATCTGTGCTAAAGAGGAATGGAAACGGGTGGTTCATAATGGTTACCGAACTCTTTGGTAATAACAAAAGGAAAGTGTTGTGTATTCTGGAAGGCTAGAAGCGGAGAGGGTGGGCTTCCTTCGCTTTTAATCTTCAGGCTTTTCTCTTGGAGGTCGAAGGGAGAGTGGAAGAAGCCCCTGGCTTGAAGGATTGTAATCATTTTGTCCTGTGTAATCAGGTGCCCTGCTTTAAGCATTACCCTGAAGTTTGGTGTCCAGCTCGACTGTCCTCCGACGAGTAGCTTTGGAAGAAGGGAGTGGGAGCTGGGAGAAGAGGGTGGTCCTAGTGGCAGACAGGGTGATAGAAGATTGGACGAAGGTTTTAGGAGTAGTTGCAGAGAAGTTGGGATTAGATGAAGATGTACTGTTGCTGCCTTTTGCTGAAAAGAAAGCTTTATTAGATACTAGAGATAAGAAACTGAATTTCAGTACATTCCTTGTAAAGGGAAGTTTGATTCAGGTCCAGAATTGGGCTCCAGTTTGCAACGAAGTTGAATCTAGTGCCGGCAACTTCTTGATTAAACTTCTCGGTCTTCCTTTCAACCTTTGGAATGATCAAATACTGAGGAAAATTATTAGAGCGTTGGGTGGAGTTCTGTTGGAGGTTAACTTAAGAAACTTGAGAGCTGTGGAACTTAAGGTTGCTGGGATCAAGCTGGAGAACTTGCCGCGGGCCTTCGAAGTTCTCTCAGAAGGTGCTTGGTACAAGGTCTGGTTAGCTTCAGAAGATGAAGCCTTTGCTCTGGGGAAGACGAACAGAGGTTGAAGGAACTGACGAGTTTGTAGGTTGGTGTAGCCTTTAGGGGCTGGCGGGAAAGCCTGGTGCGTGTGGGAGAACTACAGAGGAAGGGGAACAGTCGCAGGGGTGCCCCAAGTCTCGAAGCTTTCCTATTAAGGCTTCTAATTCAATTTTTTTTGAAGAGGGGTTGTTTAAAGAGGGTGGCCCGTCCTATGCTGASGTGGCTAAAATGGAAAGATTCGTTTGTGCTCAAAGTCTTTGTTTGAACCGGCTTTAAGGAAGGTTGGGCCGGACGGGTCAGTGGGTGAGCCTTCACATGGTTTTAAAAGCCCACGTGACGACTTAAGTCATCACGTGGGGCGGGGCAGGCTTGGGGCGATGATAGATGGCAACATTCATCTATCATCGTCTAGGTCTCGCTCTCTCGACTGTGGAGGGGCTAAGATGGTGAGCCTTCACATGGTTTTAAAAGCCCACGTGACGACTTAAGTCATCACGTGGGGCGGGGCAGGCTTGGGGTGATGATAGATGGCAACATTCATCTATCATCATCTAGGTCTCGCCCTCTCGACTATGGAGGGGCTAAGATGGCGAGCAAGGTAGGACGCTGTCCTCTATGCTGGGTCCGATGGATAGCCGGTGACGCGCAAAAGCACAACGTTCCTGATCGCCCGAACCTGCACTGTTCGAGAGGTAGAACAGAAGAGAAGGACGAGGCTGACCAAGGTTGGATAAGCTACGGCTTAGATTCTGACTATGATGAAAGATCAGAAGCCTGTGGGAGTTTAGGCAATGCGGCAGATGAAGCTCTATCTAAGATCAGAACAGGGATCCTTTTAGCCTGGATTGTTTGTTCATAGGGGATTCGGTGGGGGAGGGAAAGGAGGAGGGGGAGGAGCGGGTGAATGATCTTAACCCAAATCTGGCTAAGCCCCCCTACTTCTAGTGCCTTGCAAGAGGTTGAAAAGGAGGTAGCTTGGGTCTTCTCAGAGCTAAACAAGGGTACCTCACAGAGAGGTACATACTTGGGTACAGAAAGGGGTCATTGTGTTGATACAACGACAATGATTTTCTTTCCCCAACTCGGGGAGACAGAGTGCTCCAATTTCTCAAAAAAGAAAGTGACTACCACTTCTTCACCTATGCGCTCTCCTCACTTCTCTGCCTCAGGTAAATCCCTCAACTCTGTCAATATAGTTTTAGCTATTGATGAGCGCTCTGTGTCTCTTGTTCCAGATTCTCTTCCCAACTAAAAGTCAGAAGCCCTTGGTCTGAAAGCCACAGTGCGTCTACAAGGGGGGAAGTGGGTGAGGAAACTTGTAGAGAGACAATAATATGGGAAATCTTAGAGAGCCTTTTGGGTGAAGTGGAAAGGAAGGAATTGCAGAGAGGGAGCTTGGAGGGGACAGAAAGGGTTGTAGTTGGAGGTAATGTGAGAAGGAACAAGAAGTTTCCTAGGAGTGAAGAGAGTGCATCTTTAGAAAAAGAGGACACTAGTGGGGAAGAGTCAGTTGTAGAGTTTGTGAAAAAGTTGGGGTGCAAGCTGAAGAACCCGAATGATCTAAAAGCCTACATGCAAAAAAAAAGAGGACAACAAGATGAAGATTAGAAAGCTGAGTGAAGTGGAGAGGTTAAAAAAAGATATTGAGGGGGACAAGAAGTTTGAAGTGAAAGGGGTTAGAAGAAAAGGGTCTAAATAGATCTTGGAGGAGTTAGGGTTAAGGCTAAGAGTTTTCAATGAGAATCCTAAGTTGGAATGTGAGGGGGTTGGGCAGCATTTGGAAGAGAACAACAATTAAAGAGGTAATTAAGAAGTTTAATCCAGATATGGTAATGATTCAGGAGTCCGAAAGAATGGATTTTGATTGCAGATGGGAAAGGAGTGTGTGGAGTTCTAGGGGTATAAAGTGGGTGGCTGCTCYYTCGTGGGGTTCCTCAGGAGGGATTGTGACCCTGTGGAAAGAAGAGATACTCATAGGTGTGGAGGAGCTAATTGGAGATCATTCTGTCTCCCTAAAGTTTAGACAGGTGGACGATGGATATGAATGGGTACTAACAAATGTGTATGGCCCCAATGACTATAGGCAGAGGGAGAAATTATGGGAAGAATTGAGTGACATTAGAAGCYTCTGGGATGGACCTTGGTGTGTGGGAGGGGATTTTAAGATTTAAGGAGGAAACCAACAACCCCAGACAGAGAGTGACTACAAGTATGAGGAAGTTCAACCAATTTGTGGACTCTTTTGAACTCAAAGAACTTCCTTTCCTAAATAATAACTTCACTTGATCCAACCTTCAATCAAGGCCAATTTGCTCTAAGTTGGACAGATTTTTGTTCTCAACAGATTGGGAGGAACATTGGGGCAATATTACTTCTAGGGCTCTCTCTAGACTTACTTCAGACCACTGGCCTATAGTGTTGGTCAAGGAGGAAATAAGAGGAGTTGGACCTGCCCCTTTCAAGTTTGAAAACATGTGGTTGACTCATCTGGGTTTCATTGAGAAGATCAGAGAGTGGTGGGAGCAAGCTAATCCGGTAGTTGATTGGGAGGGAATGAGATTCCACAAGAAACTTCAATACTTAAAATCACAATTAAAGGAGTGGAATAGGCTGAAGTTTGGAAGATTAGAAGAGAGAAAACAAGTTATGGTGGAGCAAATCGAGGATTTGGACCTGAAGGAAGAGAGAGGTTCCTTTGGAGAGGAAGAAAGGAAGTTGAGATGGGTTTTGAGGAGGTAGATGGAGGACATCTTGGTTAAGGAGGAGATCAGTTGGAGGCAAAAATCCAGGTGTAAGTGGCTAAAGGAGGGAGACAGAAACACAAGGTTTTTCCATTCAGTGGCAAATGGGAGGAGAAAGAAGAATTTCATCTCTAATTTGGAAGTTGATGGAGCAGTGTTGTCCCACCCGGCAGAAA